TCTGTCTGTTTGTCTGGGCCAATTTCATTCGTTCATGGCGCGATGTGCTGAGCATGAAGTACTAAGAAAATACTAAGAAAGCTATTGTCGCTTCTTCCGCGCGTGTCGACATCTCTGTCCTACCCTAGACGTGCCATCGGGGTGCTTGTCACTCATCGCGTTGATTGACGATGACGTTTTGGCCTCGTGTCCGTACGGACCTGTGTTTGCTGTTGGCCCGCGAGCTGCAATGGGCCCACAACCATTCACATGCCGACAGCTCCATGACTGAGCTACCTGTCAATTTCATCTTCAGTGCCTGCTTGCGGCCATGCGGTCCCCTTCCAATGTTCACAAATTTATCGACCTTCTTATGTGTTGTGGGAGGATCATGCTCGTCATGTGCCTTTCGAGGCCTACACAACACTTCCGCAAAAGACTTGCGAACTTTTCAGGTTGCCATGACATGGTTCAACCAACATTTGCAGGCTCAGTTGCTGCCGGAGAGTGTCTGACCAGTTGTCGCAGCTTGTACATTCTAGAGTCCTTGAGTGTTGCTGCCCAACCAGAGGTGTTGCGCATCGTTGGAAGTATTTGTGCGAGCCGGATCTCCGCGCTCACCTTCAACAAATCTTTACACAAGGTTCGGCAAGGAAGCGGAAGTTTCAGTCTCACATCCATCCTCCACCTGATTAGTTGCTATCGCTATGTATGGTAATCCCCGTGTCGACATAGCCACGCACTTACCGGGCTATGATCACTGTGGCACAGACTGCGCGAAGCGTCGAAGTCAAACATGTGTGTTTGTTTTGTTTGTTTGTTGATGCAACAGTAGCTTTAATTGCGGTAACAAAGTAGGCATGAGCATATGTCGTATGTCGTGGAAGCAAAAGTAAGAGTAAGTAGTGGCAGTAGCAGACAGAATCGCATCACTGCTTGTCAGGAGTGGTTGCAAGACGAGCAGTCACACATTCTTCTTCTTCAACCTCTGTCGCACGAGTGTCATGCTAGAGGAGCAGTCACACATTCAAGCATGTGCGCACGTCCATCGCGCCTCTGCCTTTTGACTTTGATTGAGGTTATGCTTGCGTCTTTACGTTCTCTTCTGCCCAAGACCTGGAACTTTGCCGGCAGTACTGCATCAAGCAGTCGTAGCAGTCACGAAGGGTTTGCTGCAAGCCATTGCAAGCCAAGGAATTCCGAGTGTGAGGTCGCGTGGACTTGGCTATGGGAGAACATTCAAAAAATGCTGAAGGCGAACATGGGCAGGCCCGCTGTTCAACAGAAAGCCCTGCGCAAGTTTTTCATGAACATCGAAGATCAGCAGTTGGCTGCATACCGCACAGCGCTCTACACGGCATTCTTCGCAAAGTGTGCGCAGGGCCAGGACTACTTTAAGCAGTCATCCACCCGGCTGCACTTCATAGCTGACCGAATGCTCATGTACACACAAGATGTCTTCAAAGATCCGAAGGGCGTCATGGAAAGCCTTTCAGCTCTTGGGCTGAGACACGTCGGGTATGGCATTCCGACAGAACTTTTCGGTCCGTTTGTCAGCTCCGCAATAGAATGCTTCCGTGGCATGACAAAGGACGAACAACAGGAGGAGGCCTTTCGATGGTCATTGAATTTGATTTCGCGGGTCCTTGTTCGCACAATCACTGAAGGATCGACACTGGTGATGCGAGCCATCAATGCGAACTGTGCCAAGATGCTGCGAAAGGCAGTGAGTTGCGCCCCGAGGGGCTTGCGTGCAGAGTGGATGCTGAAAGTGCAGGTGGGCACCCAGTCCATCTCTCCCCTTCTCTGGTCCATCGAAAGTGGCAGCCTTGAGGCTGCCCAGGCCATTCTAACGGATCTCCTCACGATCCGTGCAGATCGGGACCATTATTACTATGCCATGGATGCTTTGTTCAACAGGCATCCGGATATCATCCAGAGAATCGGTGAAGATGGCCCTGAGCTCCTGCCCACCCTGCTGGATGGCTTAATCTGGCGGTCCCGAAACACGAGTAATGGCACGCGCCGGGTGAATTACTTCATCAAGTATCTCGTGGTGGATCCCAAGGACGGTTTCTCGCAGTCCTTCCGGGACGTCGTGGCCCATGGCGACCCCACCATAGCGTGCCATCCATCGGTGGTCCTTGCAGCAGATATTTTGTGGTCACATGTGGTTGCTTACACGTTTCTGATGAGCAAGCTTTGGTTTCTTCTGAATTTGGTCGTGTTTGTGGTGACGATGGCCATAATCACGGATTATTCAGACTCCGCATCCTCCCTGTCCTTGTTGGGCATGTTTATTGGGCGGCTATTCATTTACGTGTTTGGTTTCGGGCAGCTGGTCCTGCGGCATTTAGTTCGGATAGTTCGTGCCTGTCGAACGAAAGAGGTGAGACGAGTGTGTTGCTTGCCAATTCCCAGTTACTTGATCCACTTCTCCGAGAGTCTGAGTGGCATGCTGTGCATCTCACTTGGAGGCATGCTTTGCCAAGAACCTGTGCTTCACTGCCTCGGAAAGCGAGCGCTCAGCGATGTGCAGTTTGCGCAGTTCGGTGGCCAGTGTGCAGAAGCTGCAGCTTTGGTCCCAAGCTATTCCAGCTTCGCCTTCGTGGCAACCTTGCTGTACTTCTTGCTGCTTTTGGATCTGACGGTCTTTTCCACTAAGCTTTCCACGTTTGTCCTGGTATGTGGTCGCATGGTGCAAGAAGTGGCCCAATACCTTTTTGCGCTTTCATTCGTGGTCCTCACATTTGCATGCGGTTTGGCATCCTCCGATGTGGCCAATGAGCACTTCTCAGAAGTTCTTCCGGCCATGCTCAGTCTGTCGCGAATCATGCTTGGCATGTTCAGCAGTGAGGAGTTCCGGTATTTAGAGGAGGAGCCCAAGCTGCTGCTCTCTGTGAGTGTCTTTGTTATTTGCACCACCATCTTCCTGTTGAACCTGCTTATTGCTCAGCTGAACTGTGCCTACTTCGGCATTTTCAAAGATATGCTGGGCTTTGCAAGGCTGAACAGGGGATCTGTAATCTTGGACAACATTCCGCATGTCTCGCCGAAGCGATGGAAGACATTCGTGGATTCGTTGAAGATGGATGAGACTCCTGATTTAAGTAAGTGAGCTTCCGCATACCCGGCTACAGTACAGGCTAGGTCTGGAGTCTGGAGTCGCTCTGCTGCCCAACAATTTCCTTGCACGATGGGTTAGTTTTCAAGACCACTGCGAATACTGTCACAAGCGATGCGCCTAACGCATCGTTATGGTGACGTTGCATGTGGCAGGTGCTTGCCTCTCCCTAGCCCGCCAGTGCTGTTGTAGCCACATGGTCGGATTTGCTGACCTCGAAGCGTGAATGAGTTGGTCGTGCGCTTCACCTCCGCTTGTGCGCCGAGGAAACTTGAGTTTAGCGAGGGCGACATCGGCATCGCCGGCGGGCTTCAGGTCCTTGAGCCTGCCAGTGCCAACCCGGTCACGACGGACTCCATCAAACGACGCCATGCAAAACACGTGGGCATGACTAGAACTAGGAAATTAGATTATGATGTGCACAGGCCTCGAAATCAATAGACTCCGTTGATCGCTTTTCTTTGGGATTCATTCGAAGCAAGTCCTGGACGCAAGTGCCGATCCCTAGCACTTCTTCAGAGGAAACCCAAACGAGGCGACCAAAGGAGGGAAAAACATCGCGTTGTTGAGCAAGTAATGACGGGGCGAGGGTGGGAGAGTCGGCCAATCTTGCCCATCTCGGAAGAAGGCTTTTTTTGTCTTGTCTAAGGATACGGTGGATCCACGTCACGGGAGTGCCAGTGGCCGGAGACGGCTACCGACCTGGACTCTGAAGACAAGATTGATAGACTCGAACGGGTCATCGATAAAGCGGTCAAGAAGATCATCAAAGGGACGAAAGCCAAGGCGTGTCATTTCCTTCGTGCCATGTATAGAGAAAGCTTGCGCATTTCGCTGCTTTCGTAGTCATTCGACGCACGCCATCCTCTTCGATGCAGGGGTCCACGATGGGATCTTCGTCCAGCTCCGGAATGACATCATCGTCGATGGGCGATTCTTCACACGAGAACTAAGATTCTAGATTGCAAGTTCTGCTGCTGCTTCACCAATGGGATCCGGTGTAACGACATGTCATGGAAACACATGTTGCTATCGTGGTTTGCGCCATTTTCATTCTCACCACATGCTGATCAGGGTAAGGCCCTGTGCTAAGGCTGCCTGTGGACATGCCTCACGGCATCGGCCTACAGCATCTGCTGCAGATGCCAAGATTTTGAGGTCAGCTAGTCCTTGCCGTTCCGACTGCTGACTTTACCACGTTTCTTGATTTCAATTGTCACGGGCCAAGTGTGCACTCGAGATTGGTCTTCCTCGCACGAGACTTTGTTTGGTTCTGGTATGTACTGATCAACTGTGGCACCAGAGTCAGAGCCCGCTTGGGACATACTATTTTTTGAATCCATACTTGGGCATTCCTCCATTAAATGTTGTTTAGATCTACGAGAATGTGAAAGCAGGAGATACCCAAGAAACTTACCGTAGCAGGAACTCGTGCATGTCCGGGCTGAAAGAGCACGGAGGAACTACCTACCCAGGCAGCAGGCTGCACGGTTTTTCATGGGGTTCTGCAGCTGTAGCAAACTGCAGCACGGGGCGACGGTGCAGCAGCTGCGGGGTGGTGGTCGGCACAGAGGTGCTGCACCTCGAAAGTTTGAAGCACTGAGCTGAAGAAGGCTCGACAGTGTATCTTGGCAGGTACCCTCCACTGAAGTGAGGCACCAGCATGTGGCGTCTGGCCCGCCCCGGATGCTGAGGTGTGCATTTGGCACCTGCAAAGCAGGTCCAAAGCCAACCCCCAACGTTCTGCATCTCCCCAAGAGAGCGTGCAGAAGTAGTACAGTGTTACATACCCCGATAGTGAAATGACAAGCGCTACGAGAAGTCCCACGGGTTGTTGCCTTATCCGAGCAGCATAATCGACGCCGTTTGCCGTGCATTGATCGTTGATGCGACCAAGGCGGGGAACTAGCAGACTGGGCGTGCCCCAGTCGTACGAAGTGTTGGAGGCGCTTCGGCTGAAGAGTAACTTAACCTTGGTAGGTCGCTTTCGCATTCCAGCCTCGAAGAAATGTCTCGTGCGGCGGCAGGATCGGGGTCAGTTGTGGCCGGGCCCCCGTCATCCAGGAACTGTTCGTAGAGAAGCATTCGGTCAAGCTAGAGCTCGGTTGGAGTCGTTTTGAGGTGCAAAAAGACTATGTTGAGAGGTCGCTTAAGCCCCTCTTGGCGCAGGATCAGTGCCTTTGCCGCACCTGTTGCAGTCGTCATGTCCAGATGTGGCCATGCCTCGGCACGTGCAAGAACGAGGCATCAACAGAAACAAGGCCACTTATGGCACCGGCGACATGAGCAGCGACCCCAAAGCCGTTGGAGAAATGTTGCAGATTCGCTACTTGCCTAGGCCTGGATTTCCGAGACGTCAAGAAGCAGCCTGGAAAACTGGTCTGGAGGCAGTCGTGGAGACTATGCATCTCCGTCTGCATTGCAGAAGGATCGTGCTTGTATTCCAGGTCTGAGAGAAACTGGAACAAGACGTTCACTTGGCGACTGCTGCTTAGAACACATCGGGGCAGTGCCAGGGGCGTGCAGGTGATGTCGGTGTCCAGAGCCCCAGTTGTCCCCAGTTCCGGCGGAGAGAGAGAGTGAGAGAGGAAGAGAGACTCTCCTGGCTGCGTGGAAGAGGAGGGAGAGAGATGGGGGGGAGCGACCCGCATCCTAAATCTGGAGCACAAGGGAGAGAAAGGCGGAGAGATATTAGATAGAAGAGAAGCCGTCTCGGCGAATTTCCGAAAAAGTCTCCTGGCTGGTGCTATCTGGTGCTCATGTCGCACGCCTTTCAGCTTGCAGCCGGGCACAACATCTTCAACCCGAAGATGTTCAGGGGACTACTAACATGTAACTGCGAGCCTGGCCGGGCAGCCAGGAAAAGACCAGACGTAGGCTGAAGGAAGGGAGAAGAAGAAAGATGTGCCCACAAATGCTGAGCGTTCAGAAGACGGCAAGAAAGTCGGACAGAGGGCGAGTGGTACATTAGCATTGATGTCTGTGGCTGCACGTAAATTTTGGGGCGCAAAGCGTGACGACGCGACGACGTGAGTTTTGCCGCGACGACGTGAAGCGCGTGACGACGGTAACGGCGTCATCGGCGTCAGCGGCGTCAACGGCATCAACGGCGTCGACGACGTTGACGACGTTAACGGCGTCAGCGGCGTCAACGGCGTCAACGGCGTCAGCGTTGTCATCGACACGGATCTTACATTAGCAAGATCTATGCAAGACCACACCAGGGTTCGACTATGTTCGACTAATTGCCGCTGGATGAGATGACGAGAACCCCCTGCCGCAGAACTTCCCGTCACCAGCCACAGTTAAGACTAGTTTTCTTGGCGTATTGGGTTGAGGCTGGCTGCATATTTCTTTCTAGTGCCGATGCTGCTCTTGCTGTCCGCCGCCTATTCTTCTGGACTCTGTGTCTTTTCCGTCGTGACGTCGTTGCTGGTGTTTCTCCTTCTTGTGCATCTTCTTTCCGATGCAGGAGCCGGCATGTGGCTGTTGAATTGTCGGGGCTACTGAGGCTACTGCTCACGCAGGTGCTGGTTCCACGTTGCTGCTAGTGCAGATTACGACTTACGACAGGATTTTGGTCGCCATCAACGCTGGTTTACGCTTTCGGGATGAAATAGAGCATTGCTTGCACACCGGCAGAGCTTTCGCCGAGGTCACAGAGACCAAACTCGAACACTCGACATCCAACTAAAGAGGATTACAGCATGACCGCCGGACGGTTTCTTTCATTTGCCGGATTGTTTTTGTTAGATCGGCACATGTCGGTTTCTGTCTTGCAGAGTTTGGCAAACAGAGCCGCTGGGCTTCGCACGAGGCTGGGCTGGTTGGTGAACGTCCTGACGTCCTGGCCGTGGTGGGAGAAAGCGAAGACTTGCAAAGTATCATCCGACTTCAGCAGGACATGCTACCTTCCTAAACCGCCTTGATGCTCAAGCGTGTGTCTTATTCCGATTTCTGCTTGAATCCGGCAAGTGCAGGCCGTTTGCCCCAGTGCATGTCCATGCAATCAACTGTGAAGCTAGCTCGAGCACAGCTCAGTAGCTCCTAAAGGATCAGCTTAAGCTTATTCGGAGCCACAAGAACTACCTCCGCATGTGTGGCCTTTGGCCAGCACCTGTGCCAAGCTATGATTTTGCATAGGCCCATAGGCTTGTATTTGTAAGTTTCGGCTTGTGTTCCAGATTGTCGGTAGCTAGCACTGGAAAAGCTTAAAACTTAAAACATCATGTGGTTGGCTGTCAACCACAGCCGTGCTGTCGTCGCTGCTGAAGCTCTCTCCGTCGGCCACGCCAGCACAAGGCATTTGTGAACTAGATCTACAAGGGAAGATGCAGAGACACACAACCTGACTCGGCGTGGACAGCTTGCGATCAGTCGGCTCACTCTAAGGCAAAGCTGCGTTTCTGTGTGCTCGTAGAATGTTCTTGTGGTTGTGATTCAGCACGTAACATAAATTCATCGTGGTCGGTGGCTGCGTCTGCAGGGCATGAGCACGCACCTTTGTGATGGCACAGCGTGCAGCGGCCGGCTTAGAGGACAGCCTTGATATCTGTTGGCATAGCTTACACATCGCAGCTTGCAGCGATATCTTGGGCTCAAGTTGGTTAGGCAACCACCTGTATGCCCTTCTCACGGCATGTCGCGAGAAGAAGAATCCAGACGGGCAGAGTCGGAGCTGAATAAGCTGCGCAAGTTGCCCGAGAACAAGAAATGTGCCAACTGCTTCGCGCCCGGGGCTCCTGCATTGACTGCCGTTGTCGTTCCCTTCAAGATTTTCGTGTGCAGTACCTGCAAATCTGCCCACCAGGCCTTCTCACATCGATGTAAAAGCACGCAGATGAGCTTATGGACCATGGACGAGGTGCGTGCATTGGAAGAGAGAAACGGAGGAGGAAACAAGGTGGCACAGGATACTTTCTTAGCAGGTGTGCGAGATGATGACAGGCCTCGAGAGGGAGATTCTCTCGACAAGTGCAAGGAGTTTGTGAAGAGAGCCTACATAGACAAGATCTGGCTGCAAAGTGCCAGAGCGAGGGAGCCTGAGCATGCGGCGAGAACAAGATCGACCGTACCATCACCATCCCAATCGCATGATCGCGAGAAGCCTAGCAGTGCTAAGGCCACACCCGCGGTGCAAAGTGTAGACCTCCTTTCAGACTTGGATGGGCCTACCGCACCGATACCATCACCACCCCTGCAAGGGAGCCAAGCATCCTTTCCACAGCCATGTGGGGGATTTGACCCAAACGCCAATGCCACACAAGCTCAGCCAAACAAGACTTCCGGCGCAGACTTGCTGGGATTTGACCCTTTCACTTTCACGGTGGGGCACAGTGAGCCCTCCGTGGCTACAAGCTCTGCTGTGCCGGCGGCAGAGATTCCCGCCTCTGCCAGCCAAATGCCTTTCTCATCAAATGCAGGTGGGCAGGGCACAGGCTGCGGCTGTGGCGGCGGGGTCGGTTGCTGTGCTGGCTTTGGCAGCAGCAGCTGTGGCGGCGGCGGCGGCGGCAGTGTAGGCTTTGGCGGCTGTATGGGGGGCTGTTGCGGCGGCTGTGGCTGCTGCGGGGGTGGAGGGCCGGGACCAGGATTGACCAATCTGCCTGGCAGCATGATGCATGCTGGGATGCCGACTGGGCCTCAGCAAGGCTTCGGGAACTCCAGTGGCTGTGGGGCTTGTGGAAGCGGTCTTGCTGGCTGCGGCAATGGATGTGGTGCCCTTGGTTGTGCGGGCTGTTCTGGTTGCGCCTGCTTTTCTGGCCCCGGCTGTGGTTGCAACGGTGTCTCTGCCTGTTGTGGGCACGCCGGCTACACGTCTGGGCCTTGCCCACCCTGTGGGAGCTTCGGCGCAGGCTGCCCCCAAGCTAGTGGGCTGCTACCATCCAACTGTGGATGCGGTGGTTGCCACGTTCAAAACTACAACGGCTACAATGGATGCATGTCTCAGACCCCGGGAGCCTGCTGCGGCTGCGGTGGCTGTGGCTGTGCTGGCTGTGGTGGCTTCAACCCGAACGTGCCAAACGCAGGAGCCGTTGTGCAAGGATGCAATGGGATGAACGGGTGTCCCGGCACAAAGCCACAGCCCACCCTGTCCGACCTCAAGGACAATTTGCAGAGGCTGTACGCGGCATGATGCAGCATGAATCTGCAAGGTGTGACTTGGACCATGGTTGGACAAAGAGTCTGTTCAATTATTGCATCCGGGCATTCAGGAAGGGATGCAGAGGGCCTCGTGTTCTTTGAGCCTGCGAGTTTTGGCCCTGTCGGCGATTGTGGCAGGCATCGTCGTGGGTGAACATCCGTGTGTCTGTACACAGGCGATAGGCTTGCCGTATGCAGCTGTTTCACAATCTTTTTGCGAAAGCTCCCTAAGTGGAGGTCTTGTTGTCAGCCTACTATGATCCATGTGCTTGCCCGGCACTTGAAGCGAAACACCACAGACCACAGATCCCCCGGTGACCTAGTGAAACTAAACGGGCAAGTGCAGCTTTTGGGAACGGCGCTTTCTAGGCATGTACTGTTCACCCAAAGAAGGTCCCATGGTATTGCAACTTCACGATTCAGGCGGTCCCCAAATGTTGTAATGTGCCGAGAAACGGAGAGAGAAAGCGCGCCCAAACATCGCAAGATACCGAGCCTGCTCCACGCGGCTTGCTGGCATGCGCGTCTTTCTGGGTGTGCCTCTGTGCGTGTTGCAGAATATGTGCGCGTAGTGCCAGTTTGACGAAGACGAGAGTAGCGAGAGGCTTGCACGGGGATGTACTGCAGGTCAAGGCGCCTCGACCTGCTCGGGTGCAGAGCCAAGCTCGCAGTGCGTCTCCTCAAATCTATCCGGTACATCTTGCAAGCTGGGTCCTCGTATCAAAGCTCGACCTGCCCCCAACATCCCCTCATCCACGGAGTCACATTGACATGCTCTTCGGATGATTCTGTGTAGACCGAGAGAAGAGACAGATAGAGAGAGAGAGAGAGAGAGAGCTCTACAAGCAGCGGGGGGCAGCCTTAAGTTTTGACTAACTGCTATCGTAGACGGAGTTTCTGTTGATTCACCCACCGCTGCTCCACTGCATCTGGGGAGCCCAGAACTTTCTACCGAGTTGGAACATAGTGGATGCCATAGGGGCGCGGGGATCAGGCGGGGGTTGTGTTTGTGTTTAGTGTTCGGGGGGGTTGCCAACTCGGAGAATCGGGGCACACCAGGTTTTTCTGTGCCACAGTCAGAACTACCCCAAAGCCGACCGCTCAATAAACCATCGAGTGGTCGGGCGGGCCAAGGGCCTGTGGGTCGCACCGCCACCCTTACGCCCGGCAGAGAGAAAGCAAGCAAGTTCTTAAACTCAAGAGAGTGGGGGGGCGCTTCGGCGCGTGTCCAGACCTCTGGACCTCGACCAGCAGCAAGCAAGCAAATTTCAACACAAATTCCAGTTTCGCGGCTCTGTTTCTTGCCGTTGCAAATGCTCCAGCTACCACTACCTCCTACCTGCTGCTACTTACTAATACTACTACACTGAGGGTAAACTTCAGTGATCTTCAGTACGTACGAGTATGTGTCGCACGTTGCGAGAGACCTACTACTACACCAGTACTAGTACTAGTACTAGTACTAGTAGTAGTAGTAGTACTACTACTACTACTACTACTACTCCTGCTGCTGCTGCTACTACTACTACCACTAATTACTACCACTACTACTACTACTACTACTACTACTACTACTACTACTCCTACTCCTACTCCTACTACTACTACTACTACTACTACTACTACTACTACTACTACTACTACTACTACTACTACTGGCTACTGCTACTGCTACTGCTACTGTGTTGATGCCCAAAGACCTCTCCCTGTAAAGCGTAAGTCGACCCTAGTGGAGCTGGGGATGATGCAGTGGAACCTCGATTTATGTGTGATGTTTCAAGCGGATGGCCCAAGGGGCCGAATTGGCGTTTGCCATGACTGGCAGAAGCCTCATGTTGAACAGCAGCATCCTATGCACAGATGCGCCTAAGTACCTTGCAGATTCGTGTTGTGCGACGGAAAATTCGGTGTGCGAGCCATGTCCTGCCTCCTGTGACCTGTGAATCCTTCTGTTAAAAGCCACGATACTGAGAAGAAGATGGCACGGCTTAGGGTCCAGAGGGGCTGCTGAGTCGCTACAGGTTATGAGCGCCCAACCTGTTACTGCAACTCCGGTTTTGGAGGGAGAGGAAACGGGGCCAGGATATGGAGCACTACAGCAAGATGATCACCGGGCGAATGTTCCCGGACAAGGCGATGGGCGGGCCCGTGGAGACCACCCCTTGATGAATGGAGTTGACCATCCGAGGATGGAGGCTGTTCGTGAGAGTCCGCTACAGGAAGCGGCCCCGCGGATGGTGGACCATGCTACGGGCGGTGGCAGGCTTCGTCAAGCAGTGGAGACCAGTGGACCTGTCAGCCGGATGGGGAAAGGCCTACGGAACCCATGAGGCCAGTTCTGGAGGCAGATGTAAGACCTGGTGAGGAGAGCGAGTTCGTTTCTCTTCTATGAGGATAGGGAGGGTTCTCAGAAGGGTACTTCTCAGTGTGTTTAACCCTATTCAACAATATTCAGAAATGTTTGCATTTCTGCTTAAATATTCGGAAATATTCAGTTTTCTTCGGTAAACTTCCATAATATTCTTCATTATTCCAGGTTCTTCACCATTATTCTTAGATCTTCGTAAATCTTCGAAATTATTCGAAACTATTCGAAATTATTCGAAATTATTCCAAAATATTCCAAATTATTCGTTGTATCTGCGGAGAACTTGAAACACTTTTCTAGACCATTCTTCTCAGATCTTCGTAAATCTTCGAAATTCTTCGAAATTATTCCAAATTATTCGTTGTATCTGCGGAGAACTTCAAACACTTTTCTAGACCATTCTTGTTCTTAGCATGGGCTTGACCTTGCTTGCTTTGTCGTTGTCCTTAGTCCGTCCTTACCCACGCAGAACATGCGAGACACCGTTGGCCGGGTGTCGGGACTGAAGTGCCATACGTTCCTGCTTTTGGCCAACCCACTTCGGTGGATGACAGCAGAGCACATGGGCTAATGCGTCTGCTGGGCAGGATCCTGTGCTCACCCGTTCGGCAACCCTCTCCCCCTGACCGGCGGTCACAATAGGGGTGCTTGCTTCCCGAGCGGGGACAGCCCAGTGCCTTGGCGCCCACTTGGGGTGGAACTGGGCGAGGGTTGCACAGTGCCTTCAGATTGCAGGGGAGGCCGCAAGAGAGACAAAGACAAGGAAAGAGAGAAAGAGAGAGAGAGAGGGTCCCTTTAAGGAGCCCCACTAACTACTTACTGTTCCCCCAGCTGAAACCGCCAGCTGTGCTCAGTCAGGTCAGGCTCAGACGAGTTTTTAGGCGGCCGGAACTGCCTCCTTGAAAACTCTGGTGTTCAATGGCATTTTCTCACTCTTGATTGATGGCTGCAATGCAGGGGCCTTATTGACTAGACTAGGGCTTGGGGCTCCTATACAATATGCGTGGAACTTTGTCTGAAATCAGCAGTCTGAAATCAGCCGTCTGAAATCAGCTTCGTCTGAAATCAGCAGTCTGAAATAAGCCGTCTGAAATCAGCTTCGTCTGAAATCAGCAGTCTGAAATCAGCCGTCTGAAATCAGCTTCGTTTGAAATCAGCAGTCTGAAATCAGCCGTCTGAAATCAGCTTCGTCTGAAATCAGCAGTCTGAAATCAGCAATCTGAAATCTGAAATCAGCATAGCCATGATGCCTGGCACTCCTGAGTGGCCAGCCTGTGCGTTCTCGTCCTGGTACAAGGAAAACAAGAGCTGTGCCCGGATCCTCAGAGGGGTTTAAAGGGGTTTCGGTCTGTGTTCAGTCAGGCTCGATGGCTGCAATGTAGGGGCCTTATTGACTAGACTAGGGCTTGGGGCTCCTATACAACATGCTTGGAACAAGGAACCCGAAGGAATAGTATTGGTAGTTATCTAGGCTTCTATAGTAACCTTAAACCCTCGCAGCCATGGGCAAGCGCAAGCACGCTCGGGACAAGCGGCTGCCGGAGTACTTGAGATGCAATTGAATCATTGTCATTTGTGTTTGATTTTGAGAGTCAGGGAGGACGGCTCACGCAGAAATACCGATGAATGAAATCATCATCTGAGGCACCTGAGGCCCAGCGAGTTCGGGCTACGCTATTATGATATGGCGCCGATGGGAGGGCAAGCGTCGTCGTCGATGTCGGGGATGGGCCCCCAGATGATGGCGGGGCAGGCTGCCATGCAGCCGATTATGTTTCGCCAGGCTGGCGTCGTGCAACCCATGGGGTCCCAGATGCTAGGCCAGGCCGCCATGCCACCCACGGGGATGGGATCCCACATGCTGCCGGGTATGAGTTCGCAGATGGGGCAGCAGCAGCAGCAGCTCGTCCCAGTCCAGCAGGGGGGCAACGGACAGCAAGGGGAGGTGGAAAGCAGCAGCAGTGAGTCGGTGGATCCATTTGATGATCTGCTGTCCACTGATAAGCCGCTCGCTTTAACTTAACTGTTTTGACTGAGTTGTGTTTCGTTCATGAGCATGCCAGGGGAAACCTTACTTTTAGCGGATGTCACATGCTCTTGTTTTTGGGTCCTGCTTTCAGGAGTGAGTCATCGGCACCAAGAAAGAAGAGGAAGTCAAGAGGCAGATCGCAGGAGAAGAAATCCAAAAAGGATAAGAAGAAGAAGGAGCAGACTCAGAAGGACAAAAGCAAAGGCAAAAAAAAGAGGAAAGGAAATCAGAAGCCTTCGTCCAAGAAAGGCTGTGCTTGAGTGCTGGCATCATGTGAATTTTCTGCTCTGGACTGCCTAGTGAGCTACATTCCCCTGGTCCTTGATTCTGTGATGCAGCCCACCAGATGGCAAGAAGAAGAAAGTATCCTCATCCGGTTCCTCGAGACCGAGAAGTCCCTCGAGTGATTCCGATGATGCCTGTAGCCTCTTGTCTGTCATGCTGTCATAGGTCATGGCTGTTTTGGTTCAGGCATGAGCATTTTGTGTTAAACTTGCGAAGATGTGATTGACTCTGAGGTGAGGAGCTGGACAAGAGGCCGGTGCCGAAGACTTGCCTGGCCCTGTGGAAGAAATCTTCGAAGACAAACACGTAC